AGAAAAAAGAAAAAAACAACTGTATTTTTTATTATTAAACAATGTCTGAAGTAATTTAACCATTTCTAGCCTGGTAGTATTATACTGGACATTTGTATTCACAAATATTACCATACTTAAAACACATTAAGATAAATTGCAAAAGAGTTGAAAATTTTCAACCTAAGTTTACCTTTTTTTTTTCCTAAAGTAAGTTTACAATTTATAATGAAATAAAGAAGACTAGACGACATTAACGTATACTCTCTCTCCCACTGTGCAATATACTATGACTTGACCTGAAAGCAAAGTTTCGCATGTACTAATTAGCAGAGACTAAAATTATTGACTTAATGTACAAGCATACTGTGTTGAAACAAATTTTCTGATAAAAATGTGATACTATATATGTTAAAACTAATACAACTATCTAAAATTATGTGATAAACAAAAGCTTCTAACTAATAACAAAAAAATTAGAAAACTTACAATATATATAGAAAAAAGGGGAACCTTAAGACAAAAAATTGATTGCAAAAGTTTTTTGTTTTTTTTGCGCACAGCTAAATAATGGGCTATTTGTGCTTCAAAGAACTGAACCTTGGATTTTAAAGTTTTAAGTTTGTGAACTTACTGCTGACTTACAGGGGTGGGGGATCACAAAGAGGAAATCTTAGCTTTCAAATGATATATTTATGATCGTTAGCTTTAGGGTTTGGAAAACAAACAAAAATGTAGTAAACTGACCACAGATTTTGTATCTATATTTTATATCTAGACAAGAGTTTTTATCTATACAGGTGAGAATACAAATACAGTTGGGAGACAAAAATCAAAATTACAGCAAAAATTTGGGTTTTTTCCATTACTTTTTAAACAGATAATTTTTATTGTATTTAATCATCTCAAGACATACCAGCAATATTTATCAAAAAACATTATTTCAATGATTTAATGTACACTTTAAAAGCAATACATAATTTTTGTTATTTCTCTAAAAGCACACGGCTGAAAAAATATATTTGTTGATTCCACATGATGGCTACTCACCAAGTTTTCCTCTGAAAGTTAATTATTATCTTCTACAAAGATCTACACGCATATTGTATTTAAACACAAAGCTTCACAGTGGGCTATCTGCATTTTGCCCTGCACTGTTTTTTAATATATAAGGCCTTAAACTTAATGCTGAACCATTGAGGAGTTAATAAGTGTTGAAAAGTTTTAGTTTTAATCTTGACAAAAATGTATTACCACCAAAATATTAAGATTAAATCAAAACAATTTCTTTTTTTGAGTTAAGTCTTACATGTAAACTGTAAAAGAAACTCATTAATAATAAGTTTTCAAAACTTTCCGTTATAAAGATGTTTTTAATTTGGCACGTATATTTTTCAATCAATGTTGGGGATAAAAATTTTTTTTTACTATTTTAGTCACAATAAAAGTGAACAATGTTAGACTTACTTCACAACCAGATCCTGGCGGAGGTCCATCCCAGTCTGGTGGAGGACCCCCGTATTTCCTCTGTCCTGTTGTTACATCGAGTGTGTATCCTGTTCTGTCTAAGATAGCCTGCAAATCACATCAATCTAATATAATGCCTAGTACACAACTGAGCTTATAAAGTGTACGAAGAATTATTTAACGTATTACTCTCATGACGTGCATCATGAACATGAAAATGTTAACGACAGATGAAAAATTAAATACAAATTTTTAACAATGCCATATAAAGAAATCAAACAAATTTCAATCTAATAACAACAAAAGTTTCTAATTGTAAAACGATAAACTATAATAAAAGCAATCAGTCAACAGGATCCATCAACACCACTACAGCCACTCTCATTTGCCCTCACTTGTATAAAGAGGTTGAGTACATTATATTAAAATGGTTTTGGAGACTTGCCATGTCATTACAGTCTACATCACCATGGTCAGTCATACTTTGCAGTGAATCTTGACAATGGCCTTGTGGCATTGTTTCCATTGCAAAAGGATCCATCACCTAGTGTAAGAAGACGATGGTTTCCTGGCACCCAATTCAATGGTTTGATCACACAGGCACTGCCTTCGGTGAACTGACCAGTACAGTATCATATCAAATAGCATAAATACCCCCGTTTCATTCCCCAACTGCTTGGAAATCCTTCTTAATTATATTACATAATGTTGCCTGGGACATGTGTATGGCACCAATCTTCGTGATTGTGGATTTTCACCTGTTACAAGATAATATACTTTCTTACTTACTACAGCTGTGGTAAGATTTGTCACAGGTCTCTTTTTGGACGGTCTTGGTGTCTAAGATCATACATTGTATTCCAATGCCATTACATAGAAGGGATATCCCCTTTTTGGAAGTCCTGATAACATCTTTATCACAAAGTATGAATATTTTACGTATCCTTCTCACAAATAATTAACTTGCAGTAACATCAAACTACTTAACAAAGTTGAAACGTAGTCGTGATATATATACATATATGCCATGATTTGCTGATTTATATATTTAAAATTGTTGTATATGGCATACTCAACCCTCTGTAGAGCACTAAAAGGCCTAAAGTGAAGTGCATGTGTTTTTGCATTAAGTGAAGGCAAGCAATGAATTTTCAGGTCCAAATGCACCAACCATGACACAACTATGGAACATTCAAGTTAAAACAAACAGCCATCAAATAAAAAGGTCTCCATTTAGCTAAACAGCACATCCTAGAAATAATTAATGATAAAAATAATTATAATTAATAACTGATCCAGTTTTCTTATTAACCTGTATTTACGTTGAAAAATGTCTTGTCTAAATACATCAAGCCTTCCTCATGAACAAAAAAGGCAATTGCCTGTTGGTTATATACATATTCAACAGCAATGTCAGAGAGAGAATTATGGAAATTTCTGAAATTACAGAGAATATGGGAGAAGCCTGTTTTTTGTTTTTTTTATGGGGTGGGTGGGGTGAACGAGTGATATCTTGGTAAGGCAAGAAGAGAGAGACTTGATATTCTGGCTCTTCAGTACCTATAGTATGTAGCTCTAATTGGTTGAACAATCTGAAACCTTCATAAGGGTAGAGAAAAGTCAGACCACCACAGCAGATTCAGAATTAATCCAAATATTTCCTTTCGAAATTAAAACTTGTACTTAATTTATTTTAGATAGCTGGGTGAGACAAAAAAAAAAAAAAATCAACCTTTTGAATTAATTAAAAGAAAATAAGGTAGCCAAATTAAATTCAGCAGAACAAAAATGACCGAAGACTCTGTAAGTCAATAAGCATTCAAACCCAACATGTTTTACTGCTTTTAAAGTTACACGGGAAACCAGCATTACATTACTGAGAAACAAACAACATTTTTTTTTTTTAATAATAATAATAATAATGAGATATCAGATACCAGAAGAGAAAAGTCTTGAAATGTAACATAATTCTGAATAAACGGAATGCCAAAATGAATAGTGGATTACAATGATCTCGTAAGTTTTGTTGTTACGCACCAAAGTAAAGGAAACCAGATCAAACTGGTTACTGGTTCTTCTTTGGTTAGCTATTGGCAATTTTTCCAAAACGTACGATATATACAAGTTAAATAACAAATGTGTCACACTGATTTTCACCATACTCACTTTGATTTTATCTTCATCTGGACCTTTCGTTGTAGCTGCTGACGAAGATGACGATCCCCCCAATTTACTCTTCTGTCTGTACGATTTCATTACACCACACAAGTAAGCACTTTTATTGGACACGTGTTCTAAACTACTATCGAGGAACTGCTTCAGTACGTTCAAAGCACCATCAACGGGAAATTCTTTAAGTGCATCCAGGGCACGTTCGTCTAAATCTAAATACGCCAACTTTCCTACAGATACACAAAACAAATACTATCAACAAAACGCTACTACTAACTAAATCTAAATACGCAAACTTTCCTACAGATACACAAAACAAATACTATCAACAAAACGCTACTACTAACTAAATCTAAATACGCCAACTTTCCTACAGATACACAAAACAAATACTATCAACAAAATGCTACTACTAACTAAATCTAAAT